GCGGGTGGGGGGGCTGGAAGGAGGCGGCCTGGGGTGGGCTAGCGGGAGGGCAGGTGCTGGGCCGCTGGGACCGGGGACTTTTGAGGCGACGCCTGGCGTTCCCCGCGCCCTCGTTTATGAAGCGCCTCCCGAAGCCGGGCCCTGGGATGCGGCCCGGAAGTGACGGACTCGGTTCCCCTTCAGGGAGCGCACAGCCCGGGATACGAGACGCTCCCGCTCACTGCCGAGTGTGACGAGGGCCGAGAAGGAGCCGGTGTAATAGAGTCCAGCTCCGGGTCGCTGCTAAATGGACTCCTGACTGTTATGGGTTGGTTCAGCGAGATAGACCACCGACTCAGAACTTAAATTTAAGAGCCTTTATTAAGCTAGCCAGCTGACCACAGCCCGCACCTTCCCCCTCTGGGAAGGTTTGCAGCATGTGGCCCCGACCAAGGGTGCAGCAAGATCTTTTATTGCCAACTACACAGTGTTAGAAAAAAAAGAAAAAACTAACTACAAAGCGGTTCATTAGCCGTTCCTGGTACTGGCAGGGTAAAAAGTTTACATAAAATTTACGAGCAGGGTCATACCTGGCTGGGTTCAATCATAACACATTGCTTTTCTAGCGAGATAATTAGCAATTTTTCTCTCCCATGGCCCCTGCCCTTGACACAATCGGTAACTTTTTCCAGGCCGCAGTCCCTCCCCCCAACACATTTAGTAAGTTTCTCATGTTTCATTTCCTCCCCTTAGCACACTGACAGCGGGCTGGAGGGAGGAAGGAACTGGGTCGGTGGCCCCTGTCCCAGAGGCAGAGCGGGGGGGACGGCCATTGCGGCCGCGGAGAGCGCGGTCCGGAGGGGAGCGCGGTTCTCTCTCTCAAATCAATAAGTAGACATATCCTCAGGTGAGAATATTTTTTACTTATTTTTTTAAAACATTTTTGAGGGAGAGAGACATCAATGATGAGAGTCATTGATCGGCTGCCTCCTGCACGCCCCCCACTGGGGACCGGGCGGAGCCCAGGCACGTGCCTTGAGCGGAATGAACCTGGGACCCTTCAGACCTTAGGCCGAGGCCCCATCCACTGAGCCAACCCAGCCAGGGCGAGAAAAGAAAAGCACTACCCCTGTTTCAGTTTTTAAAAAATAATAAAATACAGCCTGTGTGGGGGATTACCTCCTCTCTTGGAGGCTGATGCGTTCAGGGATGATTTCATTAATGTCGTCACAATGGTATGTGAAGAGGCTGAGCGCGGTCCCAGGAGCCAGGAGGTCCCGGTCGGATTCCCTGCTGGACCCTGATGGGGCGTGTGCAAGAGGCAGCCAATCAGTGATTCTCTGTCATCATGGATGTTTCTCCCTCTCCCTTCCTCTCTGAAATCAATAAAAATGCATTTTTAAAAAGAGGTAAAATTGGCAAGACTTTATGGATTAGATATGCTGTTTAAGTGATACGTTTCTACGTTTCTGGCCTAAGTGAGTGAATTCAAAACAAAACAATTGCCTTTTCCTCTAGTGTAAAAACTGAAACCACAGGAAGTATTTTTTCCTCCATGATTATATGTACTTAGTAAATTTTGTGTGCTCTCTGTAGAAAACTCAGAATATACACACACAAATTTTTTATGTAGGACAGTAAATTATCTATAATCCAACTACCCAAGATGGCCATTTTTGGTGTATTTCCTTCATGTTTTTGTCTTCTGCATCTTTTTGTATAACTGGGAATATATTCATTATGTCTTTTTGTATCTACTTTTTCCCCATTGGACATTATCATGACAATAAAGATTGAACTGGTATGTGCCAGAACATTATTTACAGATATTTCTTTTCCTGATTGTAACAGAAAAAGTCAGATGTAATTCCGTCAAGTTAGAGATAGCTTTTTGGTGTATTTTCCTTTAAATTTGTGTGTGTGCACCTTTTATAAAAACCCATGATTTATGCTGAATTCTATGTTTTGTTTTCCAATCAGAGGTTTTTATTTAATGTTATTTATTACTATTTTGTCTTTACTCTTTAAGGCTGTAGGTGTTTTTTAAAAAATATTTTATTGATTTTTTACAGAGAGGAAGGGAGAGGGATAGAGAGTTAGAAACATCGATGAGAGAGAAACATCGATCAGCTGCCTCCTGCACACTCCCCACCGGGGATGTGCCTGTAACCAAGGTACATGCCCTTGACTGGAATCGAACCTGGGACCCTTCAGTCCGCAGGCCGACGCTCTATCCACTGAGCCAAACCAGTTAGGGCAAGACTATAGGTTTTAATGGTTGTTTTGTCACAACCAGTCCCCTGTTACTAGCTAATAGGTTTCAACTTTTTTTAAAAAAAAAATTTCTTTATTGATTTCAGAGAGGAGGGAAGAGGGAGAGAGAGAAACATCAATGATGAGAGAGAATCATCGATGGGCTGTCTCCTGCACACCCCCTGCTGGGGATCGAGCCCATAACCCAGGCATATGCCCTTGGCCAGAATCGAACCTGGGACCTTTCAGTCCGAAGTCCAACATTCTATCCACTGAGCCAAACCGGCTAGAGCAGGTTTCAACTTTTTACTGTTAGAATGAGAGGGACCTCTTATTACATAAATTCTCAGATGTCCAATTTATTCCTTGAGAAAGAGTTCTAGAAATGGAACCTACCAGGCGGAGATAACGTGAACCTATCAAATTGCCTCACCCAAATATCTAATTAAGCCTTTGATTGAAATTGTTTTAAAGATCAAATTTTTGCAAGACTTTGTTTTTCCATCTAGGTTATAGTTATGTCTTTCTCATTATTCAAACTGTCTCTTATGCTTCTTTCATGTCTTTGTATATACCCTTCCCTTTCCTCGTTAAATTATGTCTAAGAAAGGGCCAGTATTACTGATTATTTAATAATGTGCCTTCTCTGCTGAAATTCCATTTGTGAAATGACTTTGAGTCATGTCACACTTTTATTTATAAAATTATTTTCTCCCTTAATATGTGTCTAGGTTTTGCTAAAATACAAATAAAATGGTGAGATCAGAAAGTTTAAAAAGGCCGTGCAGAAGACAGGTTTTGAAACCGGACACAGTGGGTCCGAGGCCACCTGTCACTACTTGAGCCAAATTAAGCAGAGACAGGGTTGGATTATATATGAGCGTTCATTCCATAATGCCGGCTGTATGGGGAGACCAGTCCGTCACCCTGGAAATTCTGCTCTGACCCCCCCTTGCCAGGTGGCTGTTTATATACACACAAGGGAGAAGATAGCTAGCAACATGCAGCTGTGAGCTGCAAGTGTAACATGAAAAGGGGAGGGTAGAGTCTGCTGTCCGCCTTCAGGAGCTCAAAGTCCGATAACAAGGTGGCTAATCTTTTATGATGTTACAAACAGCTCAGCAGGTTCCTGGGGCTGGAGAATGGTCAGCGTTCCTGAGATAAACTCCCAGAGGGGGTCAGGGTCCGGGCACAGCAACCAAATCGAAGCATGTCCTGTCCTTGGTCTGTTCTCAAAATGTATTTCTTTTCTGAGCAGTGGACCCATCGAGGCAGCTTATCTTTTTACAGCCTTGTTTCATCCTCCAGTTTCCCAGGGTCTGTAAGAAACCTTATGTATAGTTAGTAAGTGAATAATTTTTAGACAGCTGTGGCTCTATTCTTATTACATGCCCTTCCCCACTCTCAGTTTTGTTAATACTGTAGGTAACTTATAGCCTAAAGAATTCCTGGTATTCTGCTCCTAGTCAGCTGCTGGGGAAGCTGCCCTCAGCCATGCCTCTGAGCTTCCTCACCTGTACAACAGGGCATCGGGCAGCAGCCACGACCCTTTCCCAGTAAAGGCACTACAGAGAGCTCAGCAGGGTGAGGAAGATAAGAGCCCTTGAGGAAGCCAGATGTGCTTTTGGGGTGGATTTTTCTAGTTTAGCAGTTGTATCATTAAAATTTTTAAATTTATTAGCAAGGATGTTTGTTATGAATTCTAATGTTAACTTTTAAACAAAAGAAGTTTTTTGGTCTTTTTGGTTTTATGCAATAGAATCCTGCTTATCTATGAAATGCAGTTAACACATCAGCTGGACCTATTTCCGGAATGCAGGGTGACCCTTCTGTTATTTAAAGATGTAAAAAATGCTGGAGACTTGAGAAAAAAGGCCATGGAAGGTGCCATTGATAGTTCATTGATAAACCCTACAGTGGTAAGTACAAGTGAGAATGAATGAGACATACGGGCATTTAAGAATATGTTAATTTTTCATGATGTAATAGGCTAGCCTAAAATCGCCACCTTCGGGTAAAAAGTTCTTGTCCACGCTGTGGAGTGGAGTCAGACTTGGGCAGCCTTGAGTTTAATAGTGAATAGAAGCTGAAGTTTCAGGCCCTGCACTAGGAGGTGGGAAAGGTGTGGTCTGGCTTCATAAGGCAGATGCCTGGATCTCCATCTCTCACCTGAACTGGAAAATCTCTGCAAAGGGGCATCGTATAGCGCTGACAAGCACACACTGTGGGATCATGTTGCAGGACTTCATCCCAACTCTGCCAGTGGTTAGGACTTGGCACAAATGGTAGCCACTGTCTATATAGTGTTTACTCTGTTCTGGCATCATTCTAAGTGCTTTAAATATACTAACTCACTTCACAACAACTCTGTGAAGTAAGTACTATGATTACCTCCACCTAACAAAACACTAAGGAATTTGCCCAAGTCATTGGTAAGTGACACAGCTGGTATTCAAACCCAGAGATTCGCTACTTTTGTTTCATCTACTGCAGGTGAATAAGTATACTGATTTCATAGGGTAGTTTTAAGAATTAAAGGATAATCCTATATAATAAAAGAGAAACATGTAAATTGACCATCCCTCTGCTATGCTCACCAGCCCATGAGGAGTGAGCATGCAAATTAACCCAACAGAGCTGGCAGGTTAATTTGCATACACAGGTGCCAGGTGGAGAGCATAGCGGAAGAGCCGGAGGCTTGGGGGGACATGGCTCCCTTGGTCGCTCCCAGTAACTGAGGGAGCCACGCCCCCCAAGCCACTGGGCAGAGAGCAGAGAGGGAGAGCTGGCGGCTTGGAGGACTTGGCAGAGTGGGAGGCCAGGGATGGAGACAGAGCAGGAAGGGAAAACCAAGATCGCAGGGAGCACCAGGAATTCTGGGAATAGTAGTTCTGTTGGCAGCCCCAGGCCCGGAAGCGAAAGCACAGAGTGCGGGGAGCACCAGGAATGCTGGGAATTGTAGTTCTGGTGGCAGATGGATCTCCTAGACCAGGGGTGGGCAAACTTTTTGACTCGAGGGCCACAATGGGTTCTTAAACTGGACCGGAGGGCTGGAACAAAAGCATGGATGGAGTGTTTGTGTGAACTAATATAAATTCAAAGTAAACATCATTACATAAAAGGGTACAGTCTTTTTTTTTTTTAGTTTTATTCATTCCAACCAGGCCGGATCCGGCCCCGTGGGCCTTAGTTTGCCCACAGCTGTCCTAGACACTAGAGCAGCGGTTCTCAACCTGTGGGTCGTGACCCCTTTGGGGGTCAAACGACCCTTTCATAGGAGTTGCCTAAGACCATCAGAAAACACATATATAATTACATATTGTTTTTGTGATTAATCACTATGCTTTAATTATGTTCAATTGGTAACAATGAAAATACATCCTGCATATCAGATATTTACATTACAATTCATAACAGTAGCAAAATTACAGTTATGAAGTAGCAACGAAAATAATTTTATGGTTGGGGGTCACCACAACATGAGGAACTGTATTAAAGGATCACGGCATTAGGAAGGTTGAGAACCACTGCACTAGAGCAAAGTGAGCCTGGAGCAAGTTACTGTTGCTGTGCGGGATGGAGGGAAAGCAAAGGTGAGAGACATAAGTAAAATCAGAGTGTCTAGGAAAAATTAAAGGGAAGATATCCTAAAACTTCCAGGAAATCTCCACCAATGGAGCAAAGAAAATAAAATGCCTCTATTATTCTGTGAGCAACAAACCAAACTGAGTTGGGGTCTCAGACAGTTCGCTCATATGATTGCAAAGACAGACAGAAACTCCAGGATTGGAGAGGGCTCCCCTGAGGGCTCCCAGATTGGAGAGGGTGCAGGTTGGGCTGAGGGACCCCCATACCTCTCAGTGCACGAATGTCGTGCACCAGGCCTCTAGTAGAAGTATAAAATGGTTAGAATATGACCTTTCCCATAATATTAGCCCTTGATAAATGTTATTTTTAATTTGTTTTATTATTTAAGTTCATTGCAGCTTTAAAATTCTATGATTTTCTGAACACCCAGGTCCTTGAGATAGCAATTTTGAAAGTATAATTCATAGGAATTGTGATGAAGTAAAACAGCCTGACCTTGGAGTTATCATGAGATAGGGCATGCGACTTCAGAGTACTCCAGATTCTCTGTGTGTAATTCTTTTTGGTTTGTTTGTTTTGTGTTGTGTGTTTTTTTTGGTAGATTGTCGATCCATTTCAGATACTTGTGGCAGCAAACAAAGCAGTTCATCTCTACAAACTAGGAAAAATGAAGACAAGAACTCTATCTACTGAAATTATTTTCAACCTGTCCCCAAATAACAATGTAATTAATATGGATTTTACTTAACTTTATTTCTGCTCACCTTGTCATGATAATATGAGTGTTCCCCAGAATTCCTGTAAGTCTATTGTTAGTAGCAAACCAAAGGAGTAGTGAAGAGAGGTCTGGATAGAGAGTTGAGGTTTAGCCTGCCTTTTGCTAGAAAAATAAGCTTTGGACTCACTTTGCATTTGAGCAAACATAAGTTTTGCTAAATTAAATGAGCATAGTTTTATCTGTATAGGATCAGGAAGATCCCTCTAAGTGACATCTGAATCTAAATGATAAAACAATAGGCATGGATATTTGAGTGCTATCGTATGCATTTTTAATTCTTCCTGTAAACTTGAGGGTAGAACCCATGTCTTTTCCGTCTGCGAGAAGCCTGCCTGCTACCTAGAACAGCCCTTAGCACATGCTCATTCCCACACTCCTTGTGTAGAAAGAGTTTGTGGTTTGAGATACTGATAGTAACTCAAAAGTTTTGAGCTAAAGACATTCCACATGTGGCACATAAAAATAAAAAATAGCTGAAATTTTGCTGATGAAGTTTTAGTATTACCACTACTATTAATAACACAACCAGGTACTAATGTCATCAAAAGAAAACTTAGGAAACCTGTGGTATGGTTTAAAATACAGATGTTTGAAATATTCATGAAATGCATGATAATAGAATCCCCCAGTACCTGGAGGAAAAAATTACCAGGTAATTATTGTTTCTTTGAGAATATTTGAAATAATTCAAGAAACTATTCAATTCAGTAGATATCTGTTGAGTTTGTCCCTGTGCCATTCAGTTCTAGGAACAGAAGGAACAGATATGTTCCTGAGGAAGGCAGATGAACAAGACAGAAGTCCAAATGCCCTAAGATAAATGATATGATGGGAATGATAATTCACATCTGTGGGAACAGCAAAGAACAATTTTTCTGTAAGGAGGAGGGTGCAGGAGGGAGTGACATTTGAACTGCACCTTGAGGGTGAGGGCACTCCAGGCAGAGCACAAACAGTGAGCACACAAGCAATGAAGTGTGACATGATGGGATCTACAAACAGTCTAGCCTGGCTGGTTGGCAGGAGTGCAGGACTGAGGGTCACCGGCCGGAGGAGGGGTGATTGGTGTGCCTTGCGAAGAAGTTTGAGCTTGATTCCACAGGATGAGCAGAGAGTGCTGTAGAGGCAGAACTGGTAGATGTTGGGAAGGGATTATTGACGATAAAAACTAGGCAGAGAGAACTTCCTGAGCAGGAAGAAAGATGGTGAGGTGCTTCAGACATAGAAACTATTGCTTTATTGTCTTTTTCCCCCCAGATTTCAGAGGCTTTGAAAAAATTCGGTATCTCAGCAAATGACACTTCAGTTCTAATTGTTTACATTGAAGATGGAGAAAAACAAATAGATAAAGAAGACCTAATAGCTAAGGTAGAAGGTCAGCAAGTTTCCCTGAAAAATCTTCCTGAAATAACAAATATTACAGAAGTCAAAAAGGTTTGTAAATCCAAAAAGGTGATAGATGAGGAATAATACCAATGCTGTTTGCTGTTGCTAACCTAGGCTTCTTTTTTCTTTTTCGAACATTTTTTTTTAATCCATTGATTATTTTTTTAGACAAAGGAAGGGAGAGAGAGAAAAATTAATCGCTTGCCTCCCATATGCTCCCTGACTGGGGATCAAACCCGAAACCTAGGTATGTGCCCTAACCGGGGAATCAACGCTCCAACCAACTGAGCCACCCAGCCGTGGCATTTTTTTGAACTTTTAAGAAAGGTTAACATAATTAAAAATTACTTGAAAAATTATTATAGATGTGAAGAATTGGAAGAGGCAGGTTTTTGTAAAATATAATTAGAAACTTGGTTGATAAAAGCATTTTCTAATTAAGAAAGAATAGACAACTTTAGACGTCAAGCTTACATAGTTATATTACATTTGTAATGTAACAAATTTAGTATGAAGCTAGTGTGTATGCCTTTAAAACTGGTACAAATTTGGTTTCTATGTTTAGAGAGCTACCACCATAATTGCAATTTAAAGGGCACTTTTGACATATGTGATGCATCTACTTTGCATATTTTAGTCACATTTTAATTTCATAAATGATCATATTGGGATGATCATTTATCCCAATAATTGAATGATAAATGATTTCACTTACAGGTTTGTGTAATAAAAGTTAGTAGTGCATGAATATAGTAGAATGCCATAATTTGTATTTTATTTTTATAGATATATAAACTATCTTCACAAGAAGAAAGGATTGGGACATTATTGGATGCTGTCATTTGTAGAATGTCAACAAAAGATGTTTTGTGAAATGTCAGAAGCATTAAAAATGTTCAGCATTTATAAAAAACATTGCTTTTTCTTTTCTTATAATAAAACTAGAGGCCTGGTGCACGAAATTCGTGTGGGGAAAGGGGGTGTTCTCAGCCCGACCTGTGCCCTCTCACAATCCGGGACCCCTCGGGGGATGTCCAACTGCCGGTTTACAGGCCTAAACCAGCAGTCAGACAACCCTCGCAATCTGGGATGCTGCATGCACCAGTGACCATACTTTCTTACAGGTGAAAGGCATCTTGCCGCCCTCGCTGGTTTGTCTCATGGATAGAGCGTCTGCCTGCGGACCAAAGGGTCCCAGGTTCGATTACAGTCAAGGGCACATGCCGGGGGTTGCAGCTCGATCCCCAATAGGGGGCGTGCAGGAGGCAGCCAATCAATGATTCTCTCTCATCATTGATGTTTCTATCTCTCTCTCCCTCTCCCTCCCTCTCTGAAATCAATAAAAATATATTTTTTTAAAAAAAGGCATCTTGCTGTTGTATGGGCAGCTACATTTTTTTACCCTGATTATAAAAAGTAGCACATAACATGATCCTTCTGAGGCAGTAGTACCATTTTCCCCATCTTATGGGTGGAAAAACTGAAGCAGAGAGAAGTTAAGTAATTGGCTTTGTCACACAGTTATAAGTCAGAATCAGGGCTGACCACAAAATGTGCAAGCCAGAGTCCATGCATGTCATCGCTGTATCATCCTGTTTTTTCAGTGTTAGAGTAGCTGTGTCAGGTTTTAATTTTTAAATCTAAGGCTGTTCCCAATACATAGGGTAGGGTCCCTTGGCCTGGCCAGCGATCAGAGCCGATCTGTGGGGTGATCGGTGGGGCGAGCCCCCACTGGCACCTGCCTTGGCTGGTGGTACTGGCACTGCCTGCTGGCTGGCCCCGCCCCCTGCTGCCGCCACTGGTTGCCTCCCTCTATGGCCCCGACCAAGGGCAGCTCTTGCATTGAGCGTCTGCCCCCTGGTGGTCAGTGCATGTCATAGTGACCAGTCGTTCCGTCATTCAATCAATTTGCATATTAGGATTTTATTATATAGGATTTATATGTGTTTATTATAGAAAATTTTAAAACAGAATGGTATAACGGGGGAAACCTATCCTACCTGTTAATATTTTCAAAGATAATCACTGTTAGTGTTATTTGTTATTCTAGTCTTCTATTTCCATTCAGATATATTTTATATATATATATAAAAGCCTAAGCAACCGGTCGACCATTTGACCAGTCAACCGATTAATAGTAGCTATGATGCACACTGACCATCAGGAGGCAGACGGTCCAACCTGTAGGTTACCTTGCTGCTCGGGTTCAGCTGATCGGGACTGGGCAAGACGGGCCAGACACGCCTTGGAACCCTCCCTCAATCCCTCCCCAGCCGGCCAACCTCCTGTGGCCCCTCCCCAACTGGCCAGCCCCATTGGCCCCAATTGGGACTGGTTGAGATGGGCCAGATCTTGCACTGATGAGGTCCCGGATTGCAAAAGGGTGCAGGCCAGGCCGAGGGACCCCACAGGTACATGAATCCATGCACCGGGCCTCTAGTTTTTATATAATTGGAATAGTAATTGCAAACATTTGTTGGATGTCTATAAAGTATTAGGTTTTTGCCTTAGTGATTTTATAAACACTAGCTTATAACACTTTTTGGGATAGATGCTGTTATTGCCCTCATTTTACACGCGGCCACTAAAAGATTATGGTAACTTGCCCAAGGTCCTACCGCTAATGTAAAATCATGTTTTATAAGTGATTTGGGTTTTTTTTCTCATTTTGATTGTATCAGTCAAGGTAGACTAGGTCATGGTTGGCAAACCTTTCTGTGAAGGGCCAGATAGTAAATATTTACAGCGTTGCAGGCCGAATGGTCTCTGTTGCATCTACTCAGCTCTCACTGTTGTAGTGCAGGGGCATCCACAGACCGTACATGAATGATGAGTGTGGTTGTTTTCCAGTAAGACTGGAACTAAGTGATGGGCAGAGTGACCGAGGACTGTGGTTTGTGGAGTTCTGGGTTAGATTAGGCTGCAATTCCGATCCCTAAAGCTCATTGGCTTCACATGACAAAGCTCCTTGCTCACTGTGTAGCCAGCGTGAATCGGCAGGAAGACTTGCAGTGACTCCGGGACCCGGCCGGCTGAAGGCCTCATCTCAGCGTGTGCTCTGTGGGTCACTGCACAGCTGGAAGGAACACACTCAGGGCAGCTCCTCAAGTGCAGAAGCACACAGCTACCGTTTCCTGCATGCACTCTGCTAAACACTTTAATGCACTTCCTCACTTAGTCTTCATTACAACCCCAGGGGATTTTGCCAGCGAAAAACCAGACTTGGTCTCTCAAGTCTATTTCAAAAAATTTCAAGTGTACAAAACCATTGCAAATATTATTTGAAAGTAAGTTGCAGTCCTTGTGGCACTCACCCTGCATTGTGTTTGTCGTGGCTCTTAATCTCCTTTAGAACAATTCTTTAAAAGAAAGTAATGTTGAGATTGTTTTAAGAGTACTCCAGATGTCTTTCAGAATTCCACAATCTGGAATTGTTTGTGATTTGAATCAGTTTAAATATTTTGGGGAATAATAGATCGATTTTGTGTTCTTCCTGTATATTTTAAATAAATAAGTAAATGCATGTTTCCCCTGAAGCTGAGAGATGCTGCTCCCCTCAAAGCTCAAAATGCTGTAGTCAGGGTTAAATTTCCGATCTGTGAGACTCCAGATGCTGTGCTCCTCTTCCCATGCCCTCACAAACACGTTTATTTTATTGATGTGTAACATTTCACATATGTAGTTCAATTATTACACATTTGTGTTGCTTTCAAATCTTTGCCTCCCCTTTGCAAGTAAATCTTGGTACATGTTTCTCCTTTATTTTTAAAAATGTATTCTTATTGATTTCAGAAAGAGGAAAGGAGGGGGAGAGAGAGAAAGAAACATCAATGATGAGCGAGAATCATTGATCGGCTGCCTCCTCCACACCCAACAATGGGGATCAAGCCCACAACTCGGTCATATGCCCTGACCAGGAATCCAACGTGACCTTTTGATTCATAGGTCAACACTCAATCACTAGCCACGCTGGCCAGACTGTTTCTCTTTAGAACAGCTTCCTGAAAGTGGAATTACTGGGGATGAGGATATGCATTCATTAAAGGCTTTTAATACAAGACAGGTGCTATGTGCAGTTTGGTTGGTCACATGATTTGCCTCCTTCATCAAGGGTTACATATTAAAGCTACAAACTGGCTGTCTGCCATGCGCTCTGGAATAAGTTGGGGAACGGGGAATGACCCAGGAGGTCATTGTTACTCCACATCTCCGCAGTCTTGAACTGAGCCATCTCAGGGGAAGGGTCTTTAATCACCCATCACTACCCCCAACACACACTCAAAACTACAGGGACTGCTCATAAGTCTGTGCTGCCCTTTCAGACTGTCCCAGACCCTGCTTCCCCAGCTCCCAGATAATGACCCGTATTACAAAAGTGAAAGGAGAATAGGCTCGCTGCCCAGCTCCCTGACACGGGTTGATGATTAACATGGCCAGGAGCCAGCCAATGAGGTGGCCTCCAGGGACTGGTACCAGAGATAGAGCCAGCCCTGTGCAGTCTTCCCAGATGCCAGTCAGAGGTTGAGGGAGGAGGCCGGACTGAGGCCACCCTGGACATTCAAGGCTTTTGTGGTGACAGGTGAGAGGACATGGGTGGAAGGACGGGGCTCTGAGTGTGGCCTGCAGCTCCGGACCCTCCTCTGGCTCTCAAGGCAGGGCCAGGTTGGGTGTTGGGCTCTTGGGCCAGCTCAGCAGCCTCCACCTTTGCAATCAGGGGGGGAAGGAGCCTTTGCTGAGACCTGTGCTTGGGGACACAGGCTTCCTGCAAAGTGCGGACCCTGGCAGAGGCACCAAGGGTGAGTGGGCACATGCTCTGACTGCTGCACGGTGGCACCAATGTAGCAAGGGGCTGAGAGGAGAGGCAGGAAGAGAGGGAAGAGGACCCAAGCCGGTTTGGCTCAGTGGATAGAGCATCAGCCTGCAGACTGAAGGGTCCCAGGTTTGATTCCAGTCAAGGGCATGTACCTAAGGTCCAGGCCCTGGTTGGGGCACATGCAGGAGGCAACCAATCGATGTGTTTCTCTCACATTGGTATTTCTGTCTTTCCCTCTCCCACGCTCTCTGAAAATCAATGGAAAAATATCCTCGGGTGAGGATTTTTTTAAAAAGGGTGGGAGGGGAGAAGTGGAGGGGAAGGTACTTGTATCTGTTGTTTTATCAAATTCTCAGAACAACCTCAGAGGCAGGCTTTGGTTTTACGCTGTTGTACAGATGAAGAGGCTCAGAGAGGTTAGGCAACATGCCCAAGGTCACACAGCTAGAAAGGAATGGAGCCAGGTCAAATGCAAGTCTTTCTGACCCTGCACCTTCTCCCAGTGGCTGTGTCCTACTTCCTGGGGCAGCAGCAGAATGACAAGCCCTTAAGCAGGGGCTCTGTGGTTCCCGGGAGGTGGGAGACTGGGGTCTCACTTGGCTTCCTCTCTCTTCCCCAGGGAAGGGTGCAGGGACACCTAGCTCTCTCTGCTGGACTTCGAGGCTCAGACCCACCAGTCTCCCATGGCTCCTTATCACATCCGCAAATACCAGGAGAGCGACCGCCCAAGGGTCCTGGACTTGTTCGCCCGGGGCATGGCTGAGCACGCCCCCACCACCTTCCGCCACATCCTGAAGCTGCCACGAACTCTTGTGCTCTTGCTTGGGGGGGCCCTCGCCCTGTTTGTGGTCTCTGGGTCCTGGCTCCTGGCCCTCATGGCCGGCCTCACCCTCCTGGCTGCCCTGAGGTTCCTGGCCAAATACCCCTGGACCGAGTATGTGTCCAACTGTTTGCGCACAGACATGCGTGACATCAGCAAATCCTACTTGAGTGAGCCAGGCTCCTGCTTCTGGGTGGCTGAGTGTGAGGGGCAGGTGGTGGGCACGGTGGGAGCTCTGCCCGTTGGGGAGCCCACCCTGCGGAAGGAGCAGGTGGAGCTG